ATTAATAATGGTTATTAATAATGGATATTAATAATGGTTATTAATAATGGTTATTAATAATGGTTATTAATAATGGTTATTAATAATGGTTATTAACAATGGTTATTAATAATGGTTATTAATAATGGATATTAATAATGGTTATTAATAATGGTTATTAATAATGGTTATTAATAATGGTTATTAATAATGGTTATTAATAATGATTATTAATAATGGTTATTAATAATGGTTATTAATAATGGTATTAATAATCGTTATTAATAATGGTTATTAATAATGGTTATTAAAAATTGTTATTAATAATGGATATTAATAATGGTTATTAATAATGGTTATTAATAATGGATATTAATCATGGTTATTAATAATGGATATTAATAATGGTTATTATTAATCGTTATTAATAATGGTTATTAGTAATGGTTATTAATAATGGTTAATAAAAAAATGGTTTTTAATAATGATTATTAATAATGGTTATTAATAATGGTTATTAAGAATGGTTTTAAAAAATGGTTTTTAAAAATGGATATTAATAATGGTTATTAATAATGGATATTAATAATGGTTATTAATAATCGTTATTAATAATGGTTATTAATAATGGTTATTAATAATGGTTATAAAAAAATGGGATTATTAATAATGGTTATTAATAATGGTTATTCATGGTTATTAATAATGGTGATTAATAATGGTTATTAATAATGGTTATTAAGAATGGTTATTAATAATGGATATTAATAATGGTTATTAATAATGGTTATTAAGAATGGTTATTAATAATGGATATTAATAATGGTTATTAATAATGGTTATTAAAAATGGTTATTAATCATGGTTATTAATAATGGTTTAAAAAATGGTTTTTAATAATGATTATTAATAATGGTTATTAATAATTGTTATTGATAATGGTTATTAATAATGGTTATCAATAATGGTGATTAATAATGGTTATTAATAATGGTTATTAAGAATGGTTATTAATAATGGATATTAATAATGGTTATTAATAATGGTTCTTAATAATGGTTATTAATAATGGATATTAATAATGGTTATTAATAATGGTTATTAATAATGGATATTAATAATGGTTATTAATAATCGTTATTAATAATGGTTATTAATAATGGTTCTTAATAATGGTTATTAAAAATGGTTATTAATAATGGTTATTAATAATGGTTATTAATAATGCTTATTAATAATGGTTATTAACAATGGTTATTAATAATGGATATTAATAATGGTTATTAACAATGGTTATTAATAATGGTTATTAATAATGGTTCTTAATAATGGTTATTAATAATGGTTATTAATCATGGTTATCAATATTCAAAATAATGGTTATTGATAATGGATATTAATATTAATCTTCGTAATAATGGAATCTTAACATGGATGGTAATCCCAATGATCATCGAAATCTGATTAATATAATATTACGGACAGGCGCCTTGTGTTGCCCGGAGATTTAAAGGGCCGTTCCCGGCATGTTGATGAGGATGATGATGATGATGATTGAAGATCTTCAATGAATGTAAGAGTTTAACGGGGGTGGGAGAATTAAACCCTTTGTGAAGATCTTCAATGAATGGAAGAGTTTAACGGGGGTGGGAGAAGAAAAACCTTATTGAAGATCTTCAATGAATGGAAGAGTTTAACGAGGGTGGGAGAATTAAACCCTTATTGAAGATCTTCAATTAATGGAAGAGTTTAACTGGGGTGGGAGAATAAAACCCTTATTGAAGATCTTCAATGAATGGAAGAGTTTAACGGGGGTGGGAGAATTAAACCCTTATTGAAGATCTTCAATGAATGTAGAAGTTTAACGGGGGTGGGAGAATTTATATGAGATGTATAGTGTGAACAAAAATTCCTTGTAATTTACGCTATTCTGGGCTTGGGCAACACAAGGTGCCTGTGGGTAGTATTAAGATAATGAAATATATAATGGATTGTTTAATATGGGATACATAAAATGTTATATAGTGGATATTAATCATACGTATATAATGGATATTATTGGATTATATAGTGGCTAATTAATGTACATTAATATAAAAATAATAATGATTAATAATGGTAAAATGGATACTAATTAATAGTTATAATGGTACAATCGTATAATGGATATATAAATATACCATTATTCAAAGATATAATAGTTACGAATATATAATGGATATGAATATTAATAATAGTCTATAATAATGGGATATATAATGGATCCATCATGAAAAATATGTATATGTATGATATATTTGACATGGATATTGATTCGAATGTTAAATGGATATGAAATTGGGATGTATATTAATCTATATATATTATAATGGCTACTGTGACAATATAATGGGATATAACATAAACTTTCTAAACTTACTATGATTAATGATTGATGGTCATCCATCCCATGCCATAGGAATCCTTACAAACAAATGGGTAGAATCGAAACAAATCCCCATGAAAAAAAAAACTGGTTATTGCCATCCACCAACATGGCTGTACGGTGTAATCCAACTTCTGACCATGGCACATATAAAAAGGGTACTGTCCACCAGGGGCTAATCGAATTAAGTATTATTCGAGCACATTGATACAGCATTTCAAATACGTACATTGAACCCAAAAAATGAGAAAAATGAAAGTTATTTCACGCTGGCAAAGTTCTCCCATGATAATGGTAATAATGGCAGTGAAAATGGGACTTCCCCACCATTGATGTCCAAGCTCTTGAGAGTTCAAGAAGCTCTGAGAAGTGGAGAACCCAGACACAGTGAAGCTGGACTGGATCGGACCGCCCCAATTCTGACGGAAATTCGTGGGATTGGTATCGATTTGATCACCACTATCTGGGCATCACCTGATAACTACTGAAAATATCTGAAAAATTGATGGAAATCTCTTGATGTTTCCTGAAGTCTGAAGGTATTCCACATATAACCACTGCCTGGCTTCCAAAAAAACTCAGCTCCCAAGCACTGGAGGGCAGCTTGATCGAATTCCGTTGGAGCGGCTGGGAGGACAGCTGGCCTTGGTAGGAGAACTGGGAATTGCGATACAGATGTGTATAGAGTATACATATGATTATATAATCATATATCAAATGATATATATACAATTTCGCATTGATTATGTCATGATACACCAAAGCTGAAAAGGTTGGAATTCCGCTTTTTGACCAGAGCAAATAATCATGTAAAACATTGGGGCAGGGGCCACCTTGTGGATCAAGTTTTTGCCTTCCCTGCTTGCGGCCCTGTGGATCTCGCTTTCTGTAAACCTTGCCATTTGAGCGTATTGACATTCCGTGGCCAGAAACCATCATCGATAAGAAACCCGGGTTGGGGCGAAACTGTGCGCTACAAAAAAATGAACCACACCTTTTCCACAAAAGGAAGTCTTTGCCAAACAAGTCTGGATGGTTGACCCAACTACAACTGGTAGCTTCACTGCTGGGTTTAGGGGCCAAGCAAAAGTGCCACACATCCTTATCCCTTTTCTGCCAAGCAAAATCTGGATTTCTTTGGCTCGGCAGATTTTTGTGCATGGGCTCAAAATTGGAGTAGCAACAAAGGGCTGGACATTTGTACGATCTGAAACTATTCCAAAATGGAATGTCATCATTTTGAGCCATATCCATTTTGAGGGTCACACTGCCGAGACTTTCACCGAGAAAAATCATTCGCTTAGGTAGAGTTGAGGGGAGTTGCTGTTTTTCTTTGGGGGGTTGGACCGCAAGGCAACTTGAGATAGAAACCCCGTCAAATCTAAAGGGTCCCCGAAAAATGTAATAGAGAAGTTCGTTCTCTATTTCAAAGGTGGTTCACAGTTTAGTCTTTTGTGGACTAGTCTCTAAGTACTATATGTATATATAATATGTGTGCGTACATATATATATATACATAATATTATATAAAAACACATCATGTACAGCACGTGAAGTAAACATATGTGTAGCATGTTCTGAATATATGTTGCGATATAGTGTCCCTGAGAGTAAGTTCCGGCTTGGCTGTGTCACTCCCAGCCTTGTGTGCCAACTCGCAAACAAGCATCCAATGGCTAGCTACAATGTATGCATGGGCCCATGTCAATCAAAACAAGTGGCACACATGTAAACATTGGTTCCTTCATCTTGAGAAAACATAAACAATCCCTCTTTTGATGGCACTGAAGTTGCAATGGAACTTGGTCCATGTAACACATGAAGCATGATTGAAACTTAGCAACATGTCAAAGAGACTTCTGTTGAATGATGCAGGATCCGAAGTTGCAACGAGTAGTATGAATACAATAAGCTGAAATAAGGCTATTTTGGGGTAGTTACTCCTTTCTAACCATCATTCCAGTGACGTGGCAGTGTGGTCGTTTTTATATATCCGGCTTGTTGCATGTTACATTTCTTTTTCACATCGAAGTCTTGTTCGTTGGCTTGAAGTTGCAGAGTTCACAGCCAATGTGTTGTTGGTATTCAACAAGTGAGACATCTTTGCAGCAAAGATCCAACAGCCAATCTTTGGACTCACCCAGTACATGAATGGATACAGGCTTACAATATGCTACAATCCACTGGGCAATGGATGGTGACAGATTTGAAACAACCACATAGATCACACAGAGATCTGCTTGGAGACAGGCGGTGAATCATAGTGAATCTACTCGACAAATGACGGGCTTCCAGACGCTACAGAATGTGTGGATCGATTCGAGCCGTTTCAAGGGCGATAAAGCCACTGGACACTCAAGTCAAGGGATGGAATCAAAGACATGGCGGCATTGGGATCCGTTTCCAAGGATTCCTTGTGTCCCGCATTAAAAATCATCAGATATGGAAACCAATTTGGATGATCCATTCCACAGAATGCAGTGCTTGGGTAGATAGCTATTAAAAATGATAGTTTGTGAATATCTATAACTCCGGAGATGCTACAAACATGTACAAACCCCGGGAATTGTGGACGAACCATGCTGTTCACTTTGCTCAACAGTTCACATGCTGTCGGATCCATGCCGCAGCTACTTGTCAGACGTGGAACTTGCCTCAAAAGCGTGGCAGTCGCAGCGGATCATAGGGGCATATATGGCATATATATGGCATAATATATATATAACATATATATATATATAACATATATATATATATAACATATATATATAACATATATATATATATATAACATATATATATATAACATATATATATAACATATATATATATATATACACGGCATATATGGATATGGGCTTTATTCCGACTTATGAGGGACTTCGCATGGTTATAATGTTATCTAGGTTTTGTTAAATCTATGAGTCATAGGGGATTTGATCTACAGAAATGAGAATCTTCACCTTCAAAGCCAGGAAACCTCAAATGGACTGTCATGTTCAGTAGGAAACCACATCATTGTATATATATATATATGTTGGGGTACAGTGCCTAATTTCTGCAGCATCTGGCCGCCAAAGGTGGAGCTATTGAGCCAGAATTGTGGTATGTTGCCCGATTTATGGGGAGTTTATGGGGTAATAATTAATATGGGGTGCATATAAACCATACACGGATGAATATCCAGTTCATCCCCAAATCACGTACTTCAGTTTCTGGACACATCAAACACCTCTGAGAACTGCTCACCTGCCGAAAAGTTGGCTTTGGAGAATTGTCTTTCAATTGTGACTTCGGAACGTTAGATTTCACTGTCACATCCTCATATTTCTTGGCGAACTAAGCAAGTACCCATCTTTTTTTGCTGATGAAACTACCAAAAAGTAGTTGACAAATCTGATCTTAGATGTGTGCCATGCAAATTCCATATCTGAAAACATTTGACCCCAAAAGCTGTAGGTAAATAATTGTACCATTGATGGAGCATTTCTTGGTTCTTTGCTGACCTTACTTGGAGGACCACCCAAAAAAAATCGTAACTGGTTTGCAACCATAGTTATAAGCCATGTATAAATGGAATAACCCCACAAAAATGGGGGTACCCAATAGCTGAATTGTTTATTGCATGGAAAATCCTAAACCAAAAATGGATGATAACTAGGGGTACCCCCATGACTTAGGACACCACCCAATGGGCACTTGCACATCCCCCCACCGCACCTGGGAATTGCTACCGTTCACCCGACCTCGGCTGCGGGTAAGTTACGTTTGGGGAAGCCCGGCAAATATATATATATATATTATATACCTAACGGGAAGATATCGGCACTTCAAGGCGATTTATGACAACCAAATATCTATAATATATATATATATATCATATTGGATTGGTTGATTGGAAATGTGCAGCCTCAATAACTAAACTACAGTTACAGTACCATGTTTTTCTCAGCCAGAAGTGGTGCAATCAACAAAATCTAAAAGGATCCAAAGCGTCACCAAATGACTGTTCCAAGGCCCACAAATCAGTTTCACAGATTTTCCGAAATTCTGGCATCATCCCATCTGCAAGTTTTTTCCTCAAATCAGCTGCATCTCAAGTCATGGCAATTCCAGTTTCAAGACCCTGTTTTAAAATGGAACTGAAGTAATAAAACTGGTTGGTGGTTTCAACATGTTGAGCCACTGAAAAATCTAAAAGTCATTGGGAGAAAACATATCACCAAGAAGATCATCATTGGCTATTCCTAAACTCCCCATCTTTGTTGAAACAAAGGCCCTGAAACAAAAACATAATTCCCAACAAAAACATATTGGTGGTTAATATATCACCATTATTCCCATTAAATATCCTCCTATTATTATCACATCATATCCCATCATTAAATTCATGGAAGGCAAATCCCCAATGATTCATTGCATAGACCACATTTGTTCATGATTTTATCCACATGTTTGATACTTCAACCAGTGAAACCACCATGTTTCATAAGCCATCATTTGTCATGTTTAAACCACCATGTTCATGCTTAAAGCGCAATTGTTCGTGCTTAAACCACCATTTTTCATGCTTAATCCACAATTGTTCTTGTTCAAACAAATGTTCATGCTTAAACCACAATGTTTCATGTTTAAACCACCATTTTTCACGGTTAAACCACCAGAAAAATGGTTAAACCACCATTTGTCATGGTTAAACCATGTTAAACACATCATGTTTCTATGGCGAACCTGGCCGCCTTTTTCGCCACAGATCTCCCCTCGGGCCGAGGGACTCTTGCGGCCGTGGCTGGCCTTGGAGCTCTTGGAGATGAGACGCTCCAATCGATCGAAGCGATCTTCCTCTGTATGCTCCTGAGGCATTGGGAAAATTTTAAAATGGGAACTATATATATATATATATCTGGGTAAATTTTAATATTTCACTAACCTGAATTAAGGCCATTTGGGGATGATTTCCCTTATTAACCATGATTCCAGTGAGGTCGTAGTGAGGTCGCTATAATTTACCCATATATATATAAATATACACACACACTATATTATACATATACACATATCTATAGGTATACAAATGGGTATCTCAAAAGATGCAAAGCCATCTTGCCATAGTGCCAAAATGTGCCAAACAACGGACACGTGAGGCTGACTGAAGTTCATAGAAGTGACTGCAAACCATTCAAGGAAGTTTCACACCGCTAACTACAAAAACTGCAAGGAACACCATAAACTCGCCAAAATGGCACATGTCCTTTAGCTTGTGCCCTCCAGTTTCAATCTGCCACACCCAGAGGGTTCCTCGTGCTCTTGTGGCCACGGCATGGTGGGCGCGGTGGAACCACCATAGCGACGAATTGCATCCTGACAAGCAAGGGATCAAACAATGGATGTTCGCCCCAAACAAAACTGGATTGATGTCAGGAGCAGCAGTCTAGGAATAGGTAACCGTATATCTGCATTCTAGGAATAGGTAGGCATAAATTCACACACACACATATATATATATACAGATAGAAATCCATGTTTTGTTCCACCAAAACATTGCGCCTTCCCTGCATTTGTTTCGGACATTTGGGCCAGTGAATGTCTGGCGTCCCAGACGTAGGGAATCCCCATCTTGGGGGTATATCAATTCTATCAATGGATTGATGGCCATCCCCTTTTATGACAAAATAACCCATGTTTTAACCACGGCACGGTAAACATGCGGATAAACACAGGAATTGAAGTTTGGTGATCTTAACATTAGGTAGCAATGGGCACACACACACACGATTGGTCTTTACACATACAACATGAATCGGGCCCTGGGACACAGCCAGTAACTTGGGAAAGATGTTTGTGAAGGACCTTGATTTTCCGTTTGCAACCCAAGCCAGGGATGGAACATTTAGTGGAACTTCTAGGAAAATTATGATTAAGCATGGGGTTTTCGGATACCCAAATTTGAAACATGCCCCAATGTATGCATATGGGTTTGTCTGAAAATAGGTTTCCTCCAAATGCAACGGTTCCAAAAGATTCATTTGCCATGAAATTTGATCAAGTCTGGGGCGTATCCTCCATGTTTGAGGTTTCAACCAAGAAATATAGTTATATGTGTATACATATATTACATTCCATTCAATTGCATTACATGCCATACCATACCAAATCATACCATACCAAATCATACCATAACATATACGTACATATATATATATATATTATACATAGAAAACATAACATGCTTGGTGTTTCACTACGCTATACTTGGAGGATCATCTTGATAGCAAACGGCTAGTGTTCATACTTAGCAATAATCCATGAATATATATAGATAACCTACTTTTGGGACTTACTAGCCAAGGCTTAATCGAGCTACCATAGCTATGGAAAATCAGCATTTTTTAAAGGTACGTAAATCATGTACAAATGGGCCATTTTTCATAGATATCGTAAATTACAGGAGGGTATATTATTCCCATAATATTCCCATTCTATCCCCATACTCAATTATATTCCATTTATGTTTCTTAATTGCCACATCAAGGCCAGTTCGGGAATCCGACTAAATTCCACTAGATCCCACTAAACCCAATGAAATCCCATGAAAATCCCATGGAAATCCTATTAAATCTCACTAAATCTAACTAAATCCCATTAAAAGCATTTAAAAACTCATTAAAGTACCCCATTCATCCATTAAAACCCCATGAAAATCCCATTAAAAACCCACGAAAAATGCCCACGGAAAATCCCATGTTCACCACGGATAAACAGCCGCCGTGGCCTCGGTCACCAGGTTGGCATTGGCGGGCTCCGTGACCTGGATGCCGCCAGCCAAGCCAACGTCACCCTCGTTGAACTCCTGGACTCGCGATCCTTTAAAGGGTTTATTAATGGTTGATAATAGTGGATTATTAATGATTAATTAGTGGTTAATAATCAATGATTAGTGGTTAATAATTATCCAATTATTAATAATCCACTAATTAGTGGTTAATAGTGGCAAATCACCACTAATTAATTGATTATTAGTGATTAACCACTATTAACCACTAATTGTGAATCAATGACAAATAAACAATAAATTTCAATACATGTTAATAAAGATGATTTGGTTAGTAGTTGCCACCACCCGTGTTAATAATAATTGATGAAGGTTGATAGTGGTTAATAATCAATGATCAATAATCAATGAATGTTAATAAAGATGATTTGGTTAATAGTGGCCACCCATGTCAATAATGTTTGATGAATGTTGATAGTGGTTAAGAATCAATGATGAATAATAAATGAATTGTTAATTATTAATAATCAAGGCGATACTAATGGTTAATAGTGGTTAATAATGGTTGATAATGGTTGATAATGATTACTAATGGTTAATAATCAATGGATTCTACTTAACTCATGGGTACAATTTATATCTCCGGGTACAAAGAATTGTGTTGTATTAAATCCTGGGTACTGACTGGCGGGCATCCCTCAGGCAAGACATTTTTTCTGGTGAGACACATGGGGGTTTCCATACATGGGGGTTACCCCAATAGCTGGATGGTTTATTTCATAGAAAATCCCCAAAAAAATTGCATGAATTTAGGGGGAAGGGGGAAACTTCCACATATCTGGGCAATCACGACAAACCTGAAAAAAAGCTGGCTATATTGGGATGATTCTCGTTACCCATGATTCCGGTGAGATGACGACGTGAGGTCACTATAATTTTCCCAGAAAAACATAATATATATATAATATAGATAGATATAGATACAGATTTGGAAGCATCTAATATGCTATAATCCTACTTAAGCTAACAACATTGTAAGGATTTTGCACTGACAATCTGACGGTGATTTGACCAAAAGTACCTTGGTCTATAACTAGGCTACAGTAAATACACCTTATCGTAGATATATATGCAATTTAACTCGGGTAAATCCTTCTAAAAAAAACATTCTTTAATGTTTAGATATAATCATACTATATACTGCTATATAATAATATACATAACCTTCCTCCAAACTGACCCTGATAGACCCTGAGAATCCCATGTCAACGTGTTCCATGACTAGGCAAACTGGGTTTATACACGAACTTACAAGTGGGGGAATTGGGCACCACCTTGCGCATATAATGTCAAAAAAAAGTCATGTATGTATGTATGTCTGCCTGTCTGTCTGTATGTATATGCATGCATGTATGCATGTCTGCATGTACGTATGTACGTATGTCTACGTATGTTTGAATGATTTTGAATGTATGTATGTCTGTCTGTCTGCCTGCCTATACATACACTGCATATACATTATATGATATACTATACATACTGACTATATATTATACAAATCAATGTAAATGTATATATACATGCGTGTGAGTATGTACATGGTTTATATCGGAAAATACATCTGTTACAACGAACTGACTACTTCTAATTGTTCAGCGATACATTAATGGGTATCACCAAAACAAAATGGTTGGCTTTTATTGGGACGCACAGCTCGTGTATTGTCATGAGTCAGCTCTTTTATATATACCAAAAATATGAAGGGATATAAAGGGTAACTCTCAGAAAAGCTCAACCAACCAGTTTTGTTTCATATCTATGCTACTCACCTGGAACTTGTGAGATTTTCGACTTGCAGGCGAGAAGGGTGACTACAATATGATTTTTTTTTCAGATTTAGTCATGGATCCAAATAGCAAATCTGCTTTTGGATGGTTTTGGTGGATCATTCACCTGTCCGAAACGAAGGATAGATTGTTGTTGAGTGTTGAGGCACTTGCAATCAGCATTTGAGAACACCACTCAAGTACGTTACAGATGTCTGTGTTTTTTAATGTGTTCTTCCTGAAACTACGGTACCCCAACTGATCAGCATTGTCCCCTTTTAGAAATATGTAAACGTAAACAACATTAAACAACATATATTTTGGGGGTTTCCCACATATCAAACATGACAATCAACATGCCTTTCTTGTGTGAAGGTGGGTCTCATTGGCACATTGAATGGGAAGAAGCGTTGCACCTGTCATATCAAAACAAGATTAATGGAGTCCTTGAGCAGTCGCATCGATCGGGGCAATCTCGGCACCACTATCATTTATCATTCATTTATCCTATATAGACTTATAACATGTTATAACCTGAATCTTCTGGTCCTTTTAGGAACAAAAGTTATCCATAACCACCATCTGGAAAACCCTTCGGCGATGGGGTCGAAAGCGAGTCGCAAGCGAGCCGCAAGCAGTCGCAAGCGAATCGTTGAGTTCATGCTATTGGAAGCAAGCAAGATTCCAGTTCCAAGATATTCCAAATGAATTTGCAACCCAAGACTCAAGACGCTCTTCAAATCCCAAGCCGTCCAAGAATCTGTTCCTTAGCAACACATGTGCCGATCTGAGAAGTGCCCAGTTCACGCAACCTTTCATCCCCTTCAACCCACTGGTTGAGGCCGGGTTTCCGGTGTTTGATTAGTTCACAATTTACGATGTCGATGAAACCACCTAGCATGAGCCCAAATCTAGAATCATCCGCTACCAGGCCGCTACCAGGTACTTTGCCTTTTAGTTTTCTGCAGAGTCGGATCTTGCAAAGACAGATCTCCCATTCATCTCAAGAAGATTCACCGGAAATTGCGTAAGCCTATGGTTCCCAGCTCAATAGCTCGGTTACCCTTCGTTTCACCAGCCTCACAGGGCCCAAAGCCCAAGAACTTTGATGATCAAATATGAAGAAAATCTGAGCCATTCAACTTTCATCTGAGCCCGTAGCCCTGGGTGTTCGCATCAAAATAGCTGGAGTTCTGGATCTTCATCTGGTTCATCCCCAAAATATGACCAGTCATTCATAGGCTCTGACCGCCCCCCATCCCCGTCGACTTGATGTCCATTGCATCATCGGGGTCTCCGAACAGATGCCGAAATTGACGATCACCGCTCTGTGGGAACCCCAAAATGTTCAACCAATCAGGGTTGCTCAAATACAAGGGGGGGGAACATGGGGAGATTGGGTAGATAAAGAGGTAACATGACAGAAAACTATCATGTCTGAGCGTTGTGGCTATCGTTGACTTATCATGGCTGGGAGCAACCACAACGTCGCCCCAAGTCATCCAAGTCACCAATTTTTGGCCGGAATCCCCGTCAATGTCGCAGCAGTGGTTCCAGCACGATTCAATCGAGCAAAGCCCTGGACAATGTGTGGTGACTGAAGCCGCAGTGCTATAGGGTTATCTCAACAAACTAGCCCAAGTTGTTTGGCAGTTTTGTTGGTTAATCATCATCATGTTCCCATTGAAACAATTGCCATTTGGGATATCCCCCATTTTTCGCAGCCATGTGTCCAGTTTCTGCAGTCAGGGCCATGGCTAGGGGATTGTCATGGTGTTCACATTCCAATAGACCATACCATTGATCCATTTGCTAGCCTAGATTCTTGTCCAAGCAGTTTCCCAATCAAAAGCATATTCTATGAATTAAAGGACCGGATAACCCCACAAGTCAACTTCTTCCTAAAATGAGTTTCAATGGTTTTAGCAGGGACGGGGAAGGAAGGAAAGACAAAGGAGGTGGTGAAAGATCGAGAAGGTAAAACGGTAGAACGACCAGAGCAACAAGAGATGATCCTATGACCGCATCTTTACGTGGATGTGAGTTTGTGCCACGCCTGCCACGCAAAACGACCGTGGATGTGCAATTGTGCCACGCCTGCCACGTGAAATCAAGGTGGATGTCACCAATTGCCACGCCTGCCACGCAGAAGTGGCGCGGCGTCACGGGCGTCACGGGCGCCTAAACCAAGTCCAAGCGCGCTACCCAGTGCCATAAGTGCCACGCCTGCCAGGCAAAACGACGGTAGATGTGAGGTTGTGCCACGCCTGCCACGTGAAAGGACGGTGGATGTGAGTTTGTGCCACGCCTGCCACGTGAAATCAAGGTGGGTGTCACCAAGTGCCACGCCTGCCACGCCTGCCACGCAAAATGCCGCAGCGTCACGCAAAATGTGTGTGTTTGTGTGTGTGAGTGTTTTTTTTTTTGTGTGTGTGTGTGAGTGTGTTGTTTGTTTGTGTGTGAGTGAGTGTGTGTGTGTGAGTGAGAGTGTGTGTGTGTGTGTGAAGTTATTGGATGTTAAGTTGTTAAATTATTGTATGTTAAGTTTGTGTGGTGTGAAATGATGGTATGTTGTATGTTAAGTTTGTGTGTGTGAAATTATTGTATGTTAAGTTTGTGTGTGTGTGTTAAATTATTGTTGTATGTGTAAGGAGGCGGGAGGAGGAGGAGAAGGAGCCCGGGATACAGAATCAAAAACAAGAACCCCACACAAAGATGTGGGGAATAAATCAAACATGTAAAAAACAAAACATTACTTTGCCAGAATAAAACAACACCATGTTCTTGACATCCTAAAATGTTTCACCAATTCTATCCATTGGGACTGAAAGCGGCTATATCCCCAAACAAACATTTGTTTGATTGGGAACTTGGTTATAAAATGTTATAAACCATTGCATTTGGATAGATTTTAGTAATTCGCCAATCTGATTTGAGGACATTTTGGGATAGTCACCCCTACATTCACCCATCATTCCGTTGTGTCCGGGGTGGCCGGGAACGCCACCTGCATGTCTTCGAAGACGTCGTGGTAGGATTGGCTCAATTGAGCAATGAGCAGGTTGAGAAGGAAAATGCTTACCTCACTGCAGGGACCCCATCATAGATTGTTCTTCAATTTTGTTTAACAACCCCATGTATGTAACTGATTCTGACTAAAGTGTCTATCCACATGTATTACCATAGCCATAATCGCGTGATCTTGCACTTGTAAACCAAAGAGCAAACGTGTTCAAAGTTGGGGCCCCTTCCGGTGCCGGTCGGTCAATCTCTGGTTCTTGAATGACACAACTCTTGCGGGTTGCAGTTGGGGTAACTTCAATATCGAACCATGGTGAAATAAGCATAACCCATAGGATCCATGTATGCTATATATGGTAATGTTACCATATATACCATACATGGATCCTATGGGTAAGCCCTTTGAGATCTTTGAGTTGGCGTATCACAATAGTTTTTTTCGCCATGCCACCCACTAATTTACAATGGAACTGCAACCCCAAGTTCCAGTGAAAGACGTCATTCAGATGCTCACCAGCTGCAAAACTTCATCGTTGTGCTCGAAAAGTCAAGTAACATGAGTCTGACACTGGAGGGCCAAAGTCATCTAGTCACCACTGTGTCAAGGGTGATGGGGTTGCAGCAAAACTACCAGAGACTTGGCATTTCAATTCGTGGCATCGTCCACTCTCAACCTTCAAATCAAATCTGGCAATGGAAGATGCTGCTGGAGGATATCAAGCTTCAAACACGGGACAACTTCTAGTGCCAACAAGATCAACAAGGACATGATAAGGAGGATTCCAGACATGTTGGTATTCCCAAATGGATGGTTTAGGCTCGCCCAAGGCCCAACTCACCACTTGGGAGCCCCGTTTTTGAAGCTCAGCGGCAATGGCCACAAAGACCTGGGACGGGACTGGGATGAAAATTTAAGGTGCTTTCCAAGCCCTGCGGTGAAATCACCAAAACTGGAATGGGATAGGCTGGGAAAGGAATAATCCCTGGTACCCTCTGGTAAACTAACATAACTATGGGAAGTGACCATGTTTAATGGGTAAATCCACTATAAATGGCCATTTTCAATAGCTATGTTAGTTTACCAGAGGGTATGTTTAAATACCAAATATGGGCAACAATGAAGAGATTCAGCACTGTTGGCCAGGGTTTCAATCCTGTGAGACTGGACCACTGGCCGACAGGCTTATCTAGCCTCCAGTAAATTAACATAGACCCTGCCAGATAGGGCCTGAAAGATTAGTTTCCACTAAAACTTTGTTATTTTCACGGACTATGTGAATTTCCCAGAGGGTCAATAAAGTCATTGGTAATTACAGATCAAAAACTGCTGAGTGATGTGATTCTCGTCGATTTCGATCATCCCAGATAGGATGATGCAATTTTTAACGCACGTGTCATCCGTCAAAAAACATCACATCTATGGGGATAGGGTCATCCCTCCATCAGAGATTCCTTGTACTTGCTATACCAAAAAACACATCTTGTGGATGTGACCATCCTCTATTCTCAGGAAATAGCCAATGTTTTAACCATGACATGCATAAATCAATAATCTAATTACGCTTGAGCCCTCAGATATTGAGTATAGTCAGTATGAAATAATGTGTGGACACGGTTTCCTCTGGATTTTACAGGATGTTGACCTGCGTAAGAATGGGTGCAACATCCATCGTTTACAATTTCCCGCCGGAAAACTGACATAGTGCATAAGCCATGTATGGGACATAATACAATATGTATCTGGGCATGCAATCATTCACCAACTACAACTGCTGGTGAGGGCCTTTGCGTTCGCTTTAGGTTGCCCAAAGGTAATCACGCTTGTTCCCTTGATTTTGAAGGGTTTGCTGGAGAACAAACCATCCAAAACACTGAAAAAGGAATGAAAAAGGTCTCTTGTGAGCTGTGAATGTTAGGCACACTTTTCCCATTTTTCCCCTTACCCTCTGGTAAACTAACATAACTATGGAAAGATCCACCATTTTTAATGGGAAAACTCACTATAAATGGTGATTTTCCATAGCTATTTTGACATAACCAGAGGGTAAAATCCCAAAAGATCTGGTGGAAACGTTGCGGAGCCGCTGAAAAGAGATGACTTCCTCAGTGGTCGCTCCGGCCGAGAAACTGCCACGGAAACTAACACAGCGACTTCCTCAGGCGTGACTCCAAAACCCTGGGGAGATAGTTTCCCAAGTGGTAAACTGGTAAACTGTTCCCCAAATATGGGTCATCTGAAGCGATTTTCATGAGATTTCAGTCTAAATAAAATTGGGGTATCATCCCATGTTCATCATGGCGATCCAACGTCCAGGTGGCACAATGGAGAAAAAACCTGGTGAAGTTTCGTCCTTGTTAGTGGTTGTTGGTGGGTAATAAGACTTATGTGGTCACCAGTTTTTTCATCCCCATGATGTCAACCTTCTGAAGCTTCAAAAGGTCAGCCCAAGATCTTAGTGCCATTCAGCTTTTTGAAGCCCTTCCACTTAATTAACATGAACTTACCTCACATTATAGATGAATATCGATTTGGAATGATCATTGTATCATGAATACGTTTACATACGTTTACCATATTCCTCTATCATGAATATCCTGAATGTAAGAGACCCGGTATCCTACAGGTGTTTGTTTGGGGTATTTGGGGTACAGGATTAGCCTCAACTTACGGGTTGCAAGCCCTTGTCATCTTGTCAGCTGGTTGAAGACCAATATATACGAATGGTTGTCCCCATGTTTGATGGTTAATCACTACAAATCACAATGTTTGATACTTCAGTCAGTAAAAGTAACATAAAAAGCATAAAATGACCATTTAATCACTACACATCACAATGTCTTCGAAATCAATCAGTAACAAAAACATAAAATAAGCGTTTGATCAGCAAAAATCACACATCTTGATAGTTAAAGCCATCATTAAATCAGTAACATCATCGTTGATGTTTTAATCCACACCTCCCCCAAGAGAGGGAACAAAATTCTAAGGGGCCGGAAGGGCTGGGAACCGCCAGGTGTCTCTCTCGAATTGATCATAGTCGGAGCGTGGAAACATGCGCAGGGCCATTTGGAGTAGGCCAGCGAGCCAGGGATCCACACCTGACATCCAAAATGAATAGGTTTGTAAATGGGAAATAATGGGTATAGGGTATACATTAGAAACATATATATGTATATTATAAAATATACCATCTGGTAATTGAAACAGTTTGCTATGTTTTTTCATAACATGGCCATACATGGCCCATCTATTGATGATCTACCAATTGAAATGATGGTTTTCCATGGATATGCTAAATTACCAGAGGGCAAACCAGAATTGTGGGTTTCTCTAATTGTTAATCGATGATGTGTGTTGCGTGTGGTTGATAACCAGCGATTCACACCAAGCTAAAGACCACTACTGCTTGGTGGTATACCTACCCCTCTGAAAAATATGAAAGTCAGTTGGGATGATTATTCCCAATATATGGAAACAAAAATGTTCCAAACCACCAACCAGATATACGTTTTCTTTGAACGAGACCTTTTTTTTTTCGGAATTCATCTTTAGCAACGAAATGCAACGAATCACACGGTACACCCTGATGGCCCAACCTGAGAAATCCTGTATGCCGTGCTTCAAGGAGCTAATGGCTGTCCTGCGAACGGCGCGCATATTCCATCGATGGGGATGATCTTCCCACCAGCAGTGATGTTCCATAGCGGCTATAGTTACGAGGATATGGTGGGTATAACTCGGTATAACCATCAAAAAGACCGAAATTCTATTCAAGCAGAAAATGAAACAAAAGATCGAGGATTCGAGGATCTTACCCAACGAATAAAAAAAAAACATGAATTCACCAACAAACATGGTGATATGACCAAGGATGATCATGGCCAATCCTAGATACTCTGGAAAGCAATCTTACAATATATATATATATACATCATATGGAGATATGGAGGTTTCCTAAAATGAACCTACGGGTACCCCAAATCATGCATGTTCATAGGATTTTCCATTAACCATCCATGTTGGAGTACCATAATTTTTGAAACTCCTTTTTTTTGATCTCCTTCCTTTGTGGCAAAAAAAACATGTGTAAAAACCCAACAAAGGTCTATGTACCCCGATGTTTTGAACAAACGTGGCAATGCACCCTGTAGATTATTGACCAAATGATTCATTCAGCGCCTTATTTAAAAACACACAAGAAAAGAAACAAACGGTCAAAACAGCCTACAGGGTTAGTCATCCGGAAGGCCAGTCGGGGAGTCGGGGATGTATGATTTTGCACGTATAAGTCACTTGGCAATCTAAATCACCATCGTTCAAAAACCTCAATAGATGATTGAATTCAACCCAAGTTGCCGGATAAAATGGAAAATGAATTTGAAGATAAATCCATCCTCACCAGGAAAGAAACATCAATAAATATACCAATGCACACCAAATGCCGCATCAACAAAACACATCCATTTCAGTAGGATAATTCTTTTCCTACGAGGTGGTGCCCTCTCAGAAAATTAACCCAGTTAAAATTAGTTGAATATAGACATGTATATACATATAAATACATATATATATAAATACAATCAAAATCAATTAAATACATATTCCCGATAAACCCTACTTAGCCTAGTTATGCTTACCAGATTACCTACCAAACTGGGACCCCACCTTGTATTGATGGTGGTTAAAGCCTTCTTTTCCAGACACATCAAACAAATTGTCGCTTGTATATTCCACGTAGACGTATACCCACAAATCCACAACTGAAGAGTGCTCAAAACCCTCTGGCATCCCTGTATATATATATAATGTATATTATATATCTTGTATAACATTATAGAATGATGATAAAAATACTAATAAATAGTAATAATAATAATAAATATATATATATATGGTTGCTTGATAGGCTTCCAGTTGCGATCCCATGAAATCGGGTTTTTCGTACCTTCCGATCCAAGGCATCCAAGGATCGCAAAGGCCATGACCAGGAAGACCAAGGCCAAGGCAAAGAGTCCAACGTCTGCCAAAACATGGCCGCAGACCAAAACGAACGCTGAGATCCTGGTGACAATTTAACATCGCTATGAAACATGGCCCACTTACAAATGATTTACCAAAACAAAACATGGTTGTTGTCTGTAGCTATGTGAAATTACAAGAGGGTAATATGGAAAACATGATGATAAACCATGCAGTGCATCTTTAGATGGTCCCTTAAAATTGGGTACCTATCAAATTGAAACGTGATTTATCCTGATTCTTGATTTGATCATTTCGAAGAGGGAATCCAATGGTTTTGGGCCCCCAATTTTGAGAGAAACAGCCTGGCGACTGGAACGATCCCGGCGTGCTATAAGATGAAGGGATTTTGCATCCGGTCAACCTCTCGGATTGGAAAACGGAGACCGGAATACAATAGAAATCAATAAAATACCACAAGTATGGATCTATGGGACAAAGCCAAATAAAGGATGAAAAAGGGATTTCTATATGATTTCTCTGTTAAATATATCTAAATACGACCATTTTAAGGGATTTATCATATTTCATCATCATGATTTCCATTGTCAAGACCTAAATATCAAAGGCTTCCAACTTTTAGGTGTTAAAAGATTGGCGACTGGTGACTGTGGCGCGGCTCTAAACGTGCCTTGATGAGAAAACGGGATTGTCGCAGCTGGATCTGGAAACACAATTGTTGTTGAAATGCATGTAGGAAGAATATACTGTATCATGTATCAATATATGATATCTAGAAATGCAATTACAGCACTTTTATGCCAAAAGGCGATTTTTCCCATGCTACGGCGTAATTTCAGGAGCGACATCGTAATTTTTGTTTGGGGCTATGCCATTTTCACTGGTATGTGTGGACCACGTTGGGGCTCAAAGGAAAAGATGTGCACTTGAATTGGCACGAAGTCATGGAACCTAAGGAAAAAATCATCAAATGTTGACGTCGTAACTCCCAAACATTACGGCGTAATTTCCCAACATTAAGGCGTAATTTCCCAACATTACGGCGTAATGTTCCGAAACCATGACAGATTTTTTTTTTCCACTATGTTTGCTGTTCATGGACTTACAGAGTCCATGGAGAAAAGGAGTTTTGTACTGTTCAGGGTATTGGGATCACCTCTTTGTCAGTGAAGCGTACGGATGGTGAGCCATAGTTCCAAAGCCCTCACAAACACTTTTCTTTGGCAACGTCATTTTTGAATATGTTTGGATGTCCTGCGTCAAAACTTCCGGGCTACGTCAGAAACAAAAACGCCGTTTGGGATTCCGGCACTTTTTTCCCGAGAGCGTCTGAGCGCAGGGTTCTTCCAATAGTGGGGGTCTGTATCTCATCTTCACATCTTCTCATCTTCACGCCTTCTCATCTTCACACCTTCTGTCACACCTTCTCATCTTCACATCTTCTCATCTTCACACCTTCTCATCTTCACATCTGCTCATCTTCACATCTGCTCATCTTCACATCTTCTCATCTTCACATCTGCTCATCTTCAGATCTTCTCTCACATCTGCTCATCTTCACATCTGCTCATCTTCACATCTGATCATCTTCACATCTTCTCTCACATCTGCTCATCTTCACATCCGTTCATCTTCAGATCTTCTCTCACATCTGCTCATCTTCACATCTGCTCATCTTCACATCTGCTCATCTTCACATCATCTCTCACATCTGCTCATCTTCACATCTTCTTTCACATCTGCTCATCTTCACATTTTCTCTCACATCTGCTCCTCTTCACACCTTCTCTCACACCTTCTCATCTTCACATCTTCTCTCCTTTCTCTCTCCCTTTTCTCTCTCTCGCCTTATTTATCTTTCTCTCTTTAGGCCGAGGGTGGTGCCGGCGGGGAGTCACGAAACGTGAACCCTTTCGCACGAAATGAGGGTCGATCGGCAAAAACTTGGGAAAAATTGCGATTTTACTTGTGCTGGAGCAACCCTTTCGCACGAAATGAGGGTCGATCGCCAAAAACTGAGGAAAAATTGCGATTTGACTTGTCCCGGAGCAACCCTTTCGCACGAAATGAGGGTCGATCGCCAAAAACTGAAGAAAAATTGCGATTTTACGTGTGCCGGAGCAACCCTTTCGCACGAAATGAGGGTCGATCGCCAAAAAACTTGGGAAAAATTGCGATTTTACTTGTGCTGGAGCAACCCTTTCGCACGAAATGAGGGTCGATCGCCAAAAACTGTGGAAAAATTGCGATTTGACTTGTCCCGGAGCAACCCTTTCGCACGAAATGAGGGTCGATCGCCAAAAACTGAAGAAAAATTGCGATTTTACGTGTGCCGGAGCAACCCTTTCGCACGAAATGAGGGTCGATCGCCAAAAAACTTGGGAAAAATTGCGATTTTGTGTGTGTGTAAAAGTGTGTGTGTGTGTGTAGAAGCTTCTGTGCGTAAAAGCTTCTGTGTGTAAAAGCGTCTGTGTGTAAAAGCGTCTGTGTGTAAAAGCGCCTGTGTGTAAAAGCGTCTGTGTGTAAAAGTGACTGTGTGTAACAGCGTCTGTGTGTAAAAGCGTCTGGGTATAAGAGTCTCTGTGTATAAGAGTCTCTGTGTGTAAAAGTGTTTGTGTGTAAAAGTGATTGTGTGTAAAAGCTTCTGTGTGTAAAAGCTTCTGTGTGTAAAAGCGTCTGTGTGTAAAAGCGTCTGTGTGTAAAAGCGTCTGTGTGTAAAAGCGTCTGTGTGTAAAAGCGTTTGTGTGTAAAAGTCTCTGTCTGTAGAAGCGTCTGTGTGTAAAAGCTCCTGTGTGTAAGAGTGTTTGTGTGTAAAAGTGTTTGTGTGTAAAAGTGTTTGTGTGGAAAAGGGTTTGTATGTAAAAGCGTCTGTGTGTAAAAGCGTCTGTGTGTAAAAGTCTCTGTGTGTAAAAGTGTTTGTGTGTAAAAGTGTTTGTGTGTAAAAGCGTCTGTGTGTAAAAGCGTCTGTGTGTAAAAGCGTCTGTGTGTAAAAGCGTCTGTGTGTAAAAGCGTCTGTGTGTAAAAGGCTCTGTGTGTAAAAGCGTCTGTGTGTAAAAGCGTCTGTGTGTAAAAGAGCCTATGTGTAAAAGTGTCTGTGTGTAAAAGAGCCTATGTGTAACAAGCGTCTGTGTGTAAAAGCGTCTGTGTGTAAAAGCTTCTGTGTGTAAAAGCTTCTGTGTGTAACAGCGTCTGTGTGTAAACGCGTCTGTGTGTAAAAGAGTCTGTGTGTAAAAGCGTCTGTGTGTAAAAGAGTCTGTGTGAAAAAGCGTCTGTGTGTAAAAGCTTCTGTGTGTAAAAGCGTCTGTGTGTAAAAGCGTCTGTGTGTAAAAGCGTCTGTGTGTAAAAGCTTCTGTGTGTAAAAGTGTTTGTATGTAAAAGTGTTTGTGTGTACAAGCTTCTGTGTGTAAAAGCTTCTGTGTGTAAAAGCGTCTGTGTGTAAAAGCGTCTGTGTGTAAAAGCGTCTGTGTGTAAAAGCGTCTGTGTGTAAAAGTGTCTGTGTGTAAAAGTGTTTGTGTGTAAAGGCGTTTGTGTGTAAAAGCGTCTGTGGGTACAAGCGTCTGTGTGTAAAAGTGTTTGTGTGTAGAAGCGTCTGTGTGTAAAAGCGTCTGTGTGTAAAAGTGACTGTGTGTAACAGCGTCTGTGTGTAAAAGCGTCTGGGTATAAGAGTCTCTGTGTATAAGAGTCTCTGTGTGTAAAAGTGTTTGTGTGTAAAAGTGTTTGTGTGTAAAAGCTTCTGTGTGTAAAAGCGTCTGTGTGTAAAAGTCTCTGTGTGTAAAAGTGTTTGTGTGTAAAAGCGTCTGTGTGTAAAAGCCTCTGTATGTAAAAGC